TGGCAGGGGAAGGATACTGCAAAATCCCCATTCCCTCCCCACTCCTGGGGAAAGGATATTGTAAAATCACCATTCCCACCCCACTCTGGGGCCAGCCAGAGGTGGTATTTGCCGGTTCTCCGAACTACTGAAAATCTCTGCTACCAGTTCTCCAGAACCTGCTGAATTTCACCCCTGCATTAAACACAAACATTCACTCTCAGTTAACAAGAATTGATACTAAGAGTCAACTGAGATATGCTACATGATCACCAATGTCCCATGACAGATATGGCACAACAACAAGAAGAAGAGATATGCTACTCCACTGACAATGTATTTAATAGTAATTCTGCTGCTGTGCTCTGTAAGAAATCATAACAAATGGCAGAAAGAATAAGAAAGAAGCTTTTAATTACCATTGTGTTAATTAACATTAGAAAGCTTTAGGGAAACAGGATTAACTTTAGAATAAATATTGTACAAGGATCTTGTAAGAAGGCAAGCAGAGGTGCATAATATACAGTATTATGAAAGGAACCATTGGCTTAATTATTATTTTCAGCTGATTGGCATTTTTGCACTGTCTGTTTGAAGGACCTCAAGGCTCTGACACAATGAGCTTTGCACCAAATTAGGTTTTGAGCCTTCTGCTGAGAATATCAATTGGTTGAATCACAGATACCATCAAACTAATTTTCAATAATCATCATGAAGATTGGCTGGCTTGGCCAATATTGTATTGAGTCCTGGTTAAGAGCAAATATTAGAAGTTCATTGCATGGGAATGAATGTCAAGGAGTTGTCCAGATATTTTCTTAACCAATCCTGCACTTGAAATAGACTGATGTAGAAGTCTCGTGGTTTGGATTCTTTGCTTGGCCGATCTCGTATCACCTCCCCATCATCATTTTTATTATGCCGTGCACATGGATCGTACGTGCCCCAGCTGATCACACCCACCTATCGGGAAAGACAAAGAAATGGTAAATAATAAACTAAATAACCTGGATCAGATCCAGTGAGTCACTAATTGTGGTTATTAATGCTCTTGGCCAACCTAAATCTCGCTGTTTCTTGCCCTTCACCTGGTGTGTATCGTGGCCCGCCAGCGGCCAGCAAATCTTGCAGCAGATTCAGACAGTGAGTAGGTTGGGGAGGAACATGGGCCAGTCCTGAAGTCTGGGGAAGGCTCTGATGAGAGCTTTGCATCAGAGGCAGAGATGGGGCCAGGGGCATCTGACAGTTATCAGATGCCTTTGGAGTCAGACATCAGTGAGGCAGATGAACAGCTGGAGCCTGTTCCCAGTGTGTGCATGCATAGAGTTGCCAGACAAAGGGAACAGCTAAGGAACAAGTTCGACTTGGGAGTAAGGCCACAGGTGGATGGTGAATAGCTCCTCCCAGAGGGAATAAAAGAGGAGTGAAAGGGGAGTGGAGTTTGCAGGAGACAATTAATTCACTTAATTGGTTCGTGACTCTCCAAAACTCCTTGCTAAGTTTTGAAGCTATTGACCTGGCAGCTCTCCAAGCCAGATAAGGTCTGCGATTGTAAATTCACCCTTGAAAGACTTTCCTGGATGTGAATGAGAGGAATTCACAATAACTTAAAAGGGGTTTTCATTGGGACAAGGAGTCTACTTCATGCTCTTGGGAAGCCTAGTCAGAACAAGGTGGTTCTGAACAGGAAAGCCTCCATCTTCCAGTAGGTATAGCCTTTGTTTGATGTTCCCAAGTATGATGTCAAAATGTACATCATGAGGTCATTTTTGCAAGAGCCACGGTGGCACAGTGGTTAGAATGAGGTATTGCAGACTAACTCTATCCACTGCAAAGAGTTCAATCCTGACCAGCACAAGGTTGACTCAGCCTTTCATCCTTCCGAGGTCAGTAAATGCTAACAATATGGGCAATATGCTAACTCTGTAAACAGCTTAGAGTGGGGTATAAAGCACTGTGAAGCCATATATAAGTGCTATTGCTATTGCTATTGATCCTTTTGTCATAATATCACACCCATATATGTCCAAGGTAGAGTTCTCATTCTCACAATGAACTTTTCATGACCTGTGTCAACCATAAAGCAACTTGCCCTTTTGCTTCCTCATGGGTACTTACTAATGGCACATACACTATATTGCCAAAAGTATTCGCTCACCACATAAACAGCCTCAGTTGTGAGCGAATACTTTTGGCAATATAGTGTATGTGGTAATGGAAACAGGGTTCAAATGACTGTCTGCCAAATGACTCTTTTCATCCCGTCTCACCTCTAAAACAAAGCCTATGACAGGGGTCTCCAAAGTTGACAATTTTAAGACTTGTGAACTTCAACTCTTAGAATTGGGGGGTCTTTAAGTCCACAAGTCTAAAAGTTGTTAACTTTGGAGACCCCTGTCTTATGTGGTACTTGGTAGCCTCCTCCAGATACACACTTGCATTTACTCTCACAATAATCCAGTGTTGTATAGTGGATAACGTGTAGCGCTAAGCCTATGGTGACTGTAGTGCATCACCTATACAATACCATTGGTTTATTCTTATTTCTGCAACCACACATGTTGGCCGATTGTTGTTATTCTAACTTCTGCCTTCCTTTTTTTTTTAAAAAGTATTTTTATTATACAGTTTTCTTCGTTTTACATCACAGTTTCAGCTTTGCAACAACGTATACTGGTTACATCCACATTTGTTCACATTATACATACCATTATGTCTCCTAGTATACAGTCTCATGTTCGTCACTGTTATTTCCATATTTCTAACATAAATCTCTATAAAATTATCATTCTAGATATTTTATTTTACATTTTTATAACATCTTACATCTAACTTCTGCCTTCCTGACCTATCTTAAATTGAAACATTTTAAGGCATAAAGGGAGAGTAAGTTGCATATATCTGCAGGAGAATTAAGGGAGGTTAAAAAAAGTGGGTAGGGGACTTTTGGAAAACAAGAACACAGAGCCACTGAGCCTCTCCTTCTGCTTAGTGCAAAAAGAGCTCACCCGAGAAGGTATCCCGGTCTCTGCTGGGTAAGAAAACGGGACTGTGCTTTTTCCATTTCAGGGTCTTCACTCTTAAGCAGAACTTCCTGGTTATTAGGAAGATTTTATAACACTCGCCCTGAGGAATCTTGCCTTTTCTTGTGCAAAGCATCTCAACTGTTCTCACAGCATCTAAAGTAGGGGTGTCAAACTCAAGCCCCATCGGCCGGAGAGTTGCAGGATGCCATCACAGCCGAAAACAGAGCTCACAAGGAATTCCGTTTTCTCTGGCAGAGGGTTGCAGGAGGCTGCCGCAGCCAAAAACAGAGGTCGGGAGCCCGTTTTCACTAGCAGAACGCTCAGGCCGTACCGTTGCAGCTAGTTCAATAAATCACAATTTTTTAAGAAACCTCTGACTTAGGAACAGGTAGGATCTCAAGAAGGGACTGGCCGTAGCCCAGATGAAAAGAACATATAACCAACTGACTTCGGCTACTACTGTAAATGCGACATTAGAATCCAGTACATAGTTCATTACCTGAAAATGTCTTTGTCTCCTTTCAACAAAGAGTGATCCTCCAGATTCACCTGCAAAATAGAATGGAATGGAATTGAGTGGAGTGGGCAGGGTGGAGCAGAGTAGAATAGAATAGGAGTAGAGTGAATAGAATAGAATTAGAGTAAGTAGAGTAGAGTAGAGTAGAATAGAGTAGAGTAGAGTAGAATAGGAGTAGAAGTAGAGTAGAGTAGAATAGAGGTAGAGTAGAATAGAATAGAATTAGAGTAAGTAGAGTAGAATAGAATAGGAGTAGAGTGAATAGAATAGAATAGAATAAAAGTAAAGAAAGTAGAGTAGAATAGAGTAGAGTAGAGTAGAATAGGAGTAGAAGTAGAGTAGAGTAGAATAGAGGTAGAGTAGAGTAGAATAGAATAGAATTACAGTAAGTAGAGTAGAATAGAATAGGAGTAGAGTAAGTAGAATAGAATAGAGTGGAGTGGAGTAGAGTAGAATAAAAGCAGAGCAGAGCAAAACAGAAGAGAACAGAATAAAATTCTTTATTGGCCAAGTGTCATTGGACGCATAAGGAATTTGTCTTCGGCGTATAAGTGGGAGAAGTGAAATTAACAGAGGACTAGTTTCAACCACTTCAAATTTCACCACTTCTTGCCACCTCCAGGAGGAAAAAAGTTCAAAAGTTCAGGCCTTGCAAAACTGGGCAAAACTTAACTACCGATTAGATGGACAATAGAAGGAGAAGGCCTCTTTCTTTCTCCTAATCAGAGATCTATCTTTACATCTGAGAAGACCTAAGGCAGAGGGCTTCTAAACCTACGGATCTAAGGCCTCATCTTACTCTGGAATTCTTTAAAGATAATTGTTTATTTCTCACTAGGCTTTGATAGGTTTATTTTTAAAAGAAAACAGATTATCTTATGTAGATCATACATCTTGGAATTCTTCATTCCATGTTAAACATGGCAGGGTTACTCCTACTTTTTCATTTGAAATGCCAATTGATATCCTATCGTCTTCTATATATATAAAAAGAGCTGTCTGTGTGTGTGTGTGTGTGTGTATGTTCCAGCATAATTCTGGAATGCCTGGAGCAATTTCAACCAAACTTGGTACACAGATGACTTACTCTCTGGAAAAAAAATACTGTGGGGGTAAGACACCCCAAATAGCCCTTGGGGTATATGTTCTGTTAAGATACAGCCTGTTGTGCCTTAAAATGGATTCTACTGTACTGCTGTAAAAGGGCTTCTACTACTGTACAGCGCAGTGCAGTTGCCATGGTAACAGCTTCACAGTAATCCACAAAGGGACTCTCTCTGGTAAGGGGGAAAATCCAACATTAGAAATTACGTTTGGTCCGGACATTTTCCCCCTAAAAACAAATACCCGGACAACGCCAGTTTATGAGCTAGCAGTTGATAAAACCCAAGAGCAAACTATTCTGGTCATCAAGATGCAACTTATGTCAACTAATATCCAGCTGTTCCATGGAGGGAAGCATTGTGTAATTCCTCCTCCTCCTCATTAATCAATGCACTGTAGGATGAAGGATTGGGCTATGGATCATCATGTTCCATTCTGATCCATGTGGGTTGGTAGATAGACGATTGCCTCAAAATATAATCCACTTAATGTCAATAGAGATTCTCAGTCCTACAGGTGATGGTTATCCCAAAGATGCTTTTTCAAGAGGCAACTTGACTTTCTTGGTTTTTCTTTGAAGACGTTTCACTTCTCATCCAAGAAGTTTCTTCAGCTTGAAGAAGCAGCCTCTTGAAAAAAGCACCTTTGGGATATCTATTTAACTTCTATATCTAAAGGGGGAACCAGAACTCATGGTCTTCTGTCTTCTAATCTAGTGCCTTGAAACACTAAACCAAACTGCCCCTCAAAATTTCTACTTGGGCAGCAGGAAATGTAAATTATTCCTGCACCCATCTGATTCTTTGCATGGCTGAAACATACAAGGCACTGAACCAGCCACCCAGGTCACAGCAAGGACTAGGAAGGTTAAAGGGAGGAGAAGGGCTCTACGAATAAGAGTTGCCATAATATCAATAAATTGATTCAGGGTGTAAGGAAATATCCAGGCCTTGTTATTAGAAAATATTTGCCCAGCTGGGACCCGCAATGGGAAAATATTTGCCCAGCTGGGACCCGCAATGGGATGAATCCAACCTTTCCTCCCCCCACTTAAATAATAAAATTATATAACTTGTCTCTCTACCTAACTACCCAGCTGTGCACTGGTTGATTTCAACCTGAAGCCAAGTTGACTTTCCATCTGCTATGGGGCAGCTCTGCAGAATCTCTCAGTGGTTCATTATCCCACCGATCGAGCCTTGACCCCATTTGGGAGTATCACTGTGTCAGGCCTGCAGCCATCTTTTCTTTTGGGTCTTTGGCCTGCCACACTTTCTATTATTCTAACTATGCATTTTCTATTGTGGGAAAATGGGAGGGGGGGGATTGTACGGCGTTAGATGCTATGTAACCATAACAACATTCTTTCTGGAAAGCCAAGGTCATCCTTTGTCTTTGCACCTCTGCACCTGACCGGAATTGGATGGGTGGAACTGCCAGCATGGCAGTGGGAGATTGGACTGTGTGATGGACTTGTGGGTGTGGGGGGCAAGATCTTGAACTTTCAAATAGGTGGGGAAAACCGGGAAGCTTTCAGATTCGGGTTTTCCCAGATGTGCCAATATGGTTCTCTTAATAAATTGGAACTTTGAGCAATACTTTGCCTTTGACTCTGATTTACTTTTGGATGCTATTTGGAGCCCTGACACACTGGCCATTTGCCTGGATGGCTGGAAGACTGCCTCTGAAGGCCATCCGCTGGGAGACTATTGGGCTTCCTTGAGGCAGCTGGTGGGCCCCTGAGAAAACAAACATCTGGCTAGATGGGCAAGGGATTCAATCCAGCTAAAAATTTCTTATGTCGGTATTTCTTAATCTTGGCAAGGTGAAGATATCTGGACTTCAACTCCCAGAATTCGCCAGCCATCCCATGCTGGCTAGGGAATTCTGGGAGTTGAAGCCCAGACATCTTCACCTTGCCAAGGTTGAGAAACAGTGAGTCATGTCCATGTTCTTACATATAAAATTCAGCATCCTGTTCCTGGTTCTTTGCTCCTATCTATGGGGTAATTGAAGGGATCACTCATGGGCTTTATGATATAATCAGAACAGCCATGACGGTAGATTAGATTACATTAGGCAAAGCTGTTCCATTGGTTGATTGTTCTCACTGTTAGAAAATTTCTCTTTATTTCTAGGTTGAATCTCTCCTTGGTCAGTTTCCATCCATTATTCCTTGTCTGGCCTTCAGGTGCTTTGGAGAATAGTTTGACCCCCTCCTCTCTGTGGCAGCCTTTCAAATACTGGAACATTGCTATCATATCACCGCTGGTCCTTCTCTTCACTAGACCAGACATCCCCAGTTCCCGTAACCGTTCTTCATATGTTTTAGTCTCCATCCCTAATCATCCTGGTTGCTCTTCTCTGCACCTTTTTCTAGAGTCCCAACATCTTTTTATAGTGTGGCGACCAAAACTGGATACAGTACTCTAGGTGTGGTCTTACTCAGTGGTAGGTTCCGGGCAGTACAGCCCGGTTCAGATGTACTGGTGATAGCCGAGAACAGCAGCCATCGTTCCAGTACGGTGGCTCGTTTGGCCCGCCCGCCTGCCCACGTTGCTTACTTGTTTTTGAAGCAACTGGGTCAATTTTGCACCTGCCCAGCCCCTGCGTGACCTCCGCTGAGCAGCTGGGTGTTGCAGGGTGATGGCATGCGCATGTGTGTGCAGCATGCATACCCGACTAGGACGCCCAT